AGGAACTCCAGGGGAGAGGCCAGGACCAGCCAGGGGCGCTGTGGTCTGTACTTTCACTTGAGCCATGCTCTATTCCTGGAAGAGAACAAGAACTTCCCCTTTGGCTTTCAGTGGTTTAACAAAACACTTAAAAAAAAAAAAAAAAAGAGTGCAGTCACAAATCAGATTACAAATCATTACAAATCATCTAAATATAAGACATTTATGAGCTAACAGGAAATGAATTATTCGGACTATAGACACATTTATAAAAGTCTAAAATCCATTTAAGATATTTTAGAAATGATCTGAGTTCCAAGCCTGGAAAAGTGACTCCAAACTGAGCAGTTATTCTGATCCCTTCACTGCTAATAGTCACAAACAATGAGGCTTTATTCCAGAGCGCTTTACTCATGTTACCGCTGCCAATGGCAAAAGGAGGCAGACTGTGAAAGTCAGAGCAAAACAATAGACACCGAAATCCAACTCGTTTCTCTGTAGGAACAAGCTCATAGAAAAACATCCAGATTCCAGGACAGAATCCATTTAAAGAAAAATGTAAAACATATACACTCAATGATTACAGTCCAATATTTACACCAACTGCAGCGTTAAATGTTCAAATGATTGTAAGAGTTTAAAGAAAGTAATCCTTTGCACAATGAATTAGAACCTATGGCAGCCTCACAGTATGATGCTGCCACCACCACGCCTGACAGCTACTGTAGAGTTTGTTATTTGATTTAAAGGGAAAGAGGTCAAAAAGGTTTATCTTTGTTTTGTCTGACCAGACATTTTTGAATGTGTCCATTGGGGAAAGTAGAAAATCTGCTCAAGTTATAGATTTTAGAGAGAGCTTGTGTTTTAGTGGGATCCTTCTCAAAATATGGCAGTTTGACATTTGAATTTCAGCGACAGTGGAACTTTTTCTAAACATCTAAAAAAAATATCCATTTTTGTTTTGGGTTGAATGATTTAAACGTGGATAGGATTGGGAAAGCATAAGACCAAGTCATTTCAAGTTTATGAAGACACACATCAAGCCTAATATCTATTCTATGGTTTCAATTTATGTTATGTCATTAACATAGTAAACTATCTTTAAAAATTTTATGTAAACAAAGAACACAGATCAGTAAATTAACTTTATTCTGAGTGGTAAATGTTTTACTTTAATAATAGCAGTTATTTTAGGTAAAGACACTCAAATCTAAGTCAAAACTTATTAGTGTTCAAGTCAAATTCAACATTTAAGTCAACAAACCTGTAACTGGAATCTGACTTGAGTCAAGTCACCAAGTCAGAGTTTACACCTCTGAGAATCAGGAGACAATGATCACAAACACACATAAAAAAGATGCTATTTTCAAAACCTCGACGCCACTAAAAACTTGTAGATTTTGTTTGAAAGCAGGGGAATTGAGCCCACTAAATAAGACGCTACCTGTAATTTTTCTTACAATCTTCATTAGAGAGAAAATGTAGAAGCTTGCATGGTTATCCGTACTCATATAAAGCAGAGTTTAATTCTCATTTTAAATAAGAAATCAACTAACCAGAAGATCAATGACAACATTGAGTTCATCAAAACATTTTCATCAACACATTGCCTATAAATGTTTTCTGATATGACGTTTGATTTAAACTAACTCAAGAGCAGATAAGAGATAAAAGCACACCCATCTATTTAGCCTCTTTCCCACTGAGATTGGAGGTTAAAGTGGGTTTTTCAAACATGGGTTGACCAGCTAACAATCGGCATTTGGCTCCCTTCTCATTTGCAAAAAAAGCTGGGTCTGACCCCTCGCTGGCAAGCTGCGTGGCATCCGACCCCCTGCAGCTGCGTGTCTGGTGACACCATCATGATGGGTAAGCATTTAAGATGTCACCAGAAATCAGGAGAGTAAACAATGGAGAGCAATGTGTAAGGAAGCCAGGGCGTAGTAAGTGTGCTTTATTGTTTCACTCCATCACCTTTCCAAATCCCTCTCACCAGTCCTGCACCATGTTTATTGAATGTAAACAGTTGTTTGGGTTTATTAGGTCAGAAGTGGCTGGCTTGGTGTGTTGATGTCCGTACTTAGGGCTAAATAGCGTAATGTAAATTAGGGCGTCGAATCAGATCTGGTGTTCCCAAAGTGATTTTAACGCTGATCGCTTGCAAAGTCGTTTGACCCAGGTAGACACGCGTCAGTGAGCTGTTCCAACTACCACTAAAAGCCAATTGTTCCTAGGTTTAAACAGTTTTTCAGCCACTGGGAGAGGGGTATATGTGTGAACCGGGTGAAAACGTTATTTTGATGTTTTTTAGACTCCAGTAACCCAGACTATAAATAAAAGAAAAAAGATAACCACCTCTGACTTCAGGCTTTAAAAGGCCTAGTCAAAGTATGGACTTTAATCCAAGCATCGCAAATTTCACATCAGAAGTCTAACTTTTTTTCTAAAACATTTTTCAACAACACTGAACCAAAATAGCAGCCAGCTTCTATCTCTTCCCCCCTGATTCCTCCCACAAACTTTATCTCTAAATGGGAATAACTGAGCTATTAATACTCGATACCCAAAGAACAGATCAGACATAAATAGAGATAGCCTGATCTATTTAGATCATTTAGATCTAGTGTAACATTATGGTTCAGTATTATGATTACTATGGCTATTAAATAGCTAGGATCAATTAAATGACTGTGTCAGACATTATTTAAATAAAGGTAAACAAACAGCTTCTAATCATCCTTACCACAAAGAGGGTTGGAATAATTTAAAGACGGCTTCAAAAGTAGGAAAAGTTGTGAATAAAGGGCAAAACTAAGGTCAGAACCTGCTAATCTTTTTCCATAAATTTACCACAAGTTTTTGAGGTATGGAAATGGGTGCAGTTTGCACAGGGGTTGTATTTTCTTTCCCTTTCTTTGGGTTTGTGTAAAACCACACACATCGTGATTAAATTATGTAAACAACCCTGCACTTAATATTTTAATCGAAAAACTCTCCATAAGGCACAACACATGCATGCAGCCGATTGAACTTCATGTTATTTACATTTTCCCTGCTAATCTGTACTTCCAGCCTGCCACTTTATTTTTGCTCAGAGGGGGGAGTTGTGTTTTCATTCCTCCTGCTGCAACTCTACCTGTAGTGAAACAGCCACAGATCAGGGTTTATCACCTGTGTGTCACTGCAAGTTGACAGGAATAAAAGGTATGAAGGATCCAGCCTGACTGCTTGCAGCCCATCCATCCCAGCTACTGCACAGCTTAGCAAGGAAGCTAACGATACACAGAAGAAAGCGACGTTTCCTCTTAATGTCAGCGCCTGGAAATGGAGCCACATAATGGCCAAATGTGTTTACTGCCACGAGTGGGTCACTGGGATTTTTTTTAAAACGATAATTTTAATCAGACCACCTCTGGGTAGACTCGCTTAGCCGGTGGAGGTTCATCATGGCTGAACGGCCGAGAACACCCCTCTCTCTTTGCTAGCATCTCCACACCGCCCCATCTTTCACGAAGAAAAGTCGTAGAAATTTCAGCCAACCTCCAACAACACGCACAGACCGACAACGGCGTGACAAAGCGCCTCGTGACTACCTCACGACGACGGGACAAACATTTAGAGGTAATATTTTTTACCTTTGTCCAGGGCCAGACCCCAGTTACACCTCCAACATTGGCAAACACTAAAGAGAACTGGATGGAAGAAGGGAACGTACCAAGTTATTGTTCCGAATAAAAACGCGAAACAACCCTTTGGTGGAAGATACTCACCTAGTAATGAGGCATTTTGAGTTTAAGTTGCATTATTATATATATTGTGTTATTTAAAGTTTTTTTTAAGGAGATATGGCGATAGCTTGATGTTTGTGACGGTTGAATGAATCGGCGACCCCCGCAAGGCTGAAATGGTTCGGTCCAGGTTTGCTACCTCGAAGCTACAAGTTAACTTTTGACTCAAATCCTTGTCCAACGCTTTTAAATGGATGTCACAGTTTAAAAATATCCTTTTGGTTTATTTATAGAATGTAAAGTATATGCCACCCATTTACAGTGAATTTAAAATGTATTTTTACAAAAAATCTGCTTGTCATTTCTGTACAATATGTATTTTTATAACACGGCCAATGTAATAGTGGTGCTTCTTATTGCAGAAAGGCGTTAAAAACGGCTCAAAAACCTCAAAATTAACCAAAAATTACAGGAACTCCGGATGTCGTTTAAATCCAGAGGCCGCAGACTTTGTATAAAAGTGATGAATCATTTTAAAAGCGTTGAAAAGTTTCTTATTGTCCACTGTTAAAGAAATTATATGAAGTCTGAAATGAGAAGTAGCACCTCGGATATTGTGAACCATCCCACTGTGATCGGTAGAGGGCGCCACAGGACCACGTCTCCCAATTTTACTAGATTATTTTTTAATCAGTACATTTTTTAGGATGCAATGCATACAAGACCAGTTTCCAACTAAAAGGAATCCTCTAAGAACACTGCAAATTTTTTTCAAGTACACAAAAATAAATCTGCAAGAGCTATATATATATACATATATATATATATATATTTTACATCTATATCATCTAACACAACTAATAAACAGTTGTATGTTTACATTTATCACTGCTACATACCTTTTATCACTGCTGCACTTTGAAAATGAAAATGTCTTGAAAGCTGTACTGAACGAAATTTTTTTATACACTCTCTTTGTACAAAATGACAATTAAGTCTAAGTCTATGACCTATATAAACAAATTTAAAGCAAATATTTCTGTCCCAGTCATTTTATGTTTAATCTTTTTGTATTTTGGCTTAGGTTTAATAATTTGAATTTTGTGAGTTTTGTCAATTTATTGAAAATGGGCCAGGTTTGAACATGGTCAAAACGCATATTTTACGTTTTAAAATCCAGAGTCTCTAAAGAAAATAAAGTTGAATATATTCTTTATCTTGGCCATTTAGTTTTCAAAATTCAGTGAGATGAATTAGACAAACTGAGCACAGAGACTTATCTTTAAAAGTGAATTTTTGCTTTATTGATTATGAAAATGAACAGGCACCTTTTACATGGAGCTTGCACATCCCAGAACAAAAGTTTTAAATATAAATAACACACCCTTATTAGTGTTTATCACTCACAACCTGCAAACTAAAAGTTCAAAACACATTGAGGGAAAAAAAAGACAACCAAAATAACCATAAAGAAAAAAAAAAAAAAAAAATGATGTAACATACCAGTACTCACTCAAGTTCTTAAAACTCCCGATCTACTGCCTGCTGGATAAAGGACTTATTTTAAATCGGCAACTTGTTCTTTATCTTTTGTCCTCTTAAGAAAATTACAGCCCTCAAGACCCATTAGGATAATGACAAAAAAAAGCAAATAATTGTCTTTAAGTCGTTTTTGAGACAGCAGTGGCATCATCGCATTCACTCAAGAGACTCTGCTAGATCAACCCGTCCCCAAACCCCAAAAAAAGTCAATATGAACAACCCAAGCTGGAAAATTCAAGTATCTTACCAGATAAAAGTTTAATTAGGAATGGAGTGATCACAGGCTCTAAAGGTGAGCTTTGTCATAATTATCTGAAAGCAACTTTCTAAAGGCTGGAAAGACTAAAAGTTCTCGCTATGTTTGATATTGGTATGACAGGGTAGGGTTTGAAATCACATGCATCCCCGCTGTAAAACTTTATACTTTTCTGTACCAATTTATGTCTGCAACTGACTGTACATACCAGAATTTGCAAAAGATGCTAACTTCCATTGAAATAAAGCACTGCTTTCATTATTAAGCCAGACACTAAATGCATCTTACGCACTTTAAAGACCTATATACAATATTTTCAATGTATTAACTTTACAACATAACAGTCTCTTTTGCTGAAAATATAGTTAAATTCAAAATATTTAATAGGTATCTTTTTGAGGTGATTTATTGAAAAAAGTACCTGAGCCAAAACTCTGACAGGGGGAACGTCACGAAAGCTTTCTAAACGACTCTGCTTTTAATCATTCATTGCTGCTCTGGAGATCAAACAAGGATTTAAATTAAATTACAAAATACCAAAGAAAAACAAGAAAAACATACTGACCCTTCAAAACAAACCCCTTTCCAAAGTATCAGCTAGTCAGAAAAAAAGTACAAAAGCAGATTTAAAATCAAATGTTTCAAAGACAGAAAATTAAAGCATGTTAATTTAAAAAATACATAAATATATATTTATATATATAATCATACATATAAAAATGAATCAATGTTCTCTTACAGACATTCTTTGAGTGGAAGAGAGGCTGCAGCACACCTTGAAGGCTGGACTAGTCACAACTACCCCAACCTTACGAGGAGATGTGCACAGAGGTCCTCGGATGACTACAGATGCATCGGCTTATCCGTTTTATCCCCGTTTGTTCCACAGAAGGAAGAACCAACCAGATCTCCAGATGGAAGATGAAGAAAAATAATGTAATCTCTCTACAGTGGTTTCCAAACAATGAAAGCTTACAATATCTCTGCAAGTCATGGATTACATACAAGTAGTTCCTTTTCAAACCAGATACTTTCACAGTGCATAAAAACAAAAGAAAAACAGATGAAGCATTTTCTTGGGGCTTGATGGGTCAGATCCATTCTAGAAAGAATTATTACTAAATGATTTCTCTTTGCAGGCCCAAGCATGCATCCATCAGTAGGTATTGCACACCACAAGTACCTTTAAATTCACACACACACTTACAAAAAAAAAAGAAAACAAACAAAACTGCAATTTTTAAGTCTCCCTATTAATCTTCCTCCCTTTTCTTGCTGCATTTATATCCCGTTTGCCAAAAACTATACATCTTGGGTTCTTCTAAATTTCCGTTTATTTTCATTTTCTATGTTACAACCAACTAAAACATGCAGCCAACTGCCCGCTTGGAAAATGCAGTCAAGCCTCCACCGTATGGTGTCCATTATTCCAGTCAAAGGTCAGAGTTCAAAGACTGAATGATTAAAAAGTGCTTTATGTAGGTCAGAAGGACTTCTTTCTTCTACAGTTATAACAAAGTTTGTACATTAGCATGTATCATCTGTGAAAGGACAAAAAAAAATGAGTTGGACCATCCGTATCCAAACTTTAACAGGACAAAATGTGTTACAAATTACTCACCATGATACCACCATTTTGTTTTCTTTGGATTTTTGTTACATGTTCTTACATAAAACGAGTTATCAGGTGGTCGTCTCTGCGGAAAAAGAAAAAAACGGATTTAAAGGTTACAGAATTCAGAACACAAGTAAAGTGTTATGTTTCTCTATCCAGAGGTACCTTTTCTTTGCAGCTGGACAACATGCTGATAATACTAAGACAAACTGATTGCACAGAGAGGGCTGGTGACCAGTCTTCCGTCAGAATAGATAAACAGATGTGACCGTTGCTATACACATGAGGGTGGACAGGTATATTCTCTCCTGTGAACATTACCTGCATAATTCAAAGAAACAAACATCTGGGGTTATTCAGACAATTAACAGAAAAAAAAACACAAGCAGAATATGAAAGTTAAACTTATCAAGTATCCCTCTTATCACTTTTTCAAAATTTGTTTTGATCCAACCACAATCTTCATTATATTTGATGTAGTCTACATGTAAAACAATACATAGGATTTCAAAACATGTTACAAATATAAATCTGTAAAAGCATTTAACAACTATTAGACTCTCCCTCTGTAAAAAAAAAAAAGTTCCTCAGAGCAGAATCTTTCCAACAGTTCAAGTCCCGAAAAGCTGGACCTCTTAAATTTCTCTTAACAGCTTTCACATTGCGACTGTTTCATAAAGGTCAGACATGGAGGTGGATGACACATAACTGGCCTCTCGGACAGATTCATAACCTGAATACAGGACCTCTGCTGCTCCTCCAGAGATACCACAGGCAATTGGATTGCTTCTCTGATAAACAACCTCCAAGCCTGGCCTAGGAGACAGCTGGGTTTTAGATAATCTCCTGCTGAATCCTACCCATACAGACGATGGATTAAATAGTACTTTCTTTGATGTTGTTTGAAAGTTATTCTCAAACCTATGCTTTATCCGTCTACAGTGTTTATTGATCTTTGCTATTTGTTTCCTCACAAAAACATCAGGTTTATCACAATCTGTTTCTACAAAGATTAAATTACTTTGTGGGAACTCAGTTTACTAATGTACCGACTTCTGAATACAGCATAGAAAAAAAAGGTGACCGTTGATATATGATTGGCCGATTTAGGTGTACAAGCTGACGTATAACTTACTGGCATAAGATAGCGAAGAAAAAAAAAACAGATTTTAAGATAGGATTATTTTTCAAAACAGAAATTTTCTAAATTTTGGGACAATATCGTCTGATAAAGAGTAAATGTATATACATGCTTAAGCCAGAATGATTTGACATTTAAATATGACTTCCCTACGACTTTAAAAAGGCACCACCATTTCATTAAACTCGAAGAACACAGCGACTCACTGTTTATATGGACATAGGTCGAGGTTTATCTGCTCCTTCACATGACCTTGACATATAAAACCACCACTGTGGCTTTTTAAGTGCTCCATAACAGTTATGCTGTATAAGTGTACAATACCCACTAAACTTGCATTCAACTGCTCCAGGGCTTCGTTATAACTAATGGTTTTTCATGCACACCAGGGACCGGGAAGTTTTTGAACTCTCCCATTCTGGAACACGTTTTCAAAACTCTAGCACCAACAGAGAAACGTGCCTTGAATTGGTGTATATAACCAAATGTATTGTTGTATGCATAGAGTTATAGATAATAATATAGCAGTAAGGACTTCAGATGGGTGAACTATTAAAGATGATCAGTAGAGGGCTCCACTGACTAATTTCCTGTGTTACAGTTTTTAAGGAAAAGAGGAATATGAACCTACTAAAAAGCTGTAGCAAATAAATTTAGTCTAGATGTGTAAAACGTCACATTTTTTTTATTGTTCTTTATGTCAATTTTGACATATATGCAGAGGGACACAGCTTCATTAATAAGCAACGGGGAACTGCTTGAAAATATTTAGCAAATGCAATGACATCTGTATGCAAATTAGTTTATACCATCAAGATTATTTTAAATGGAATTTTTTCAGGAAAAATAAAATGATATAAAGTGAGCTAGTTAATGTTTTAAGTGTATATTTTATTAAAAATATTTGTTAACAATGAACAGCAATTAGTTTCTTGCATCTCAGAGGTTAGATGAGAAGTTGTTCTTGTAAAGGGTTCATGAAACTAAGTGTTGCCATTACTTTCCCTGCTCTATCCTATTCAAGTGATTTTAAATTCAGGATTTTATTGCATTAGATCACTGTATGGGTTTAGGATTGGCGGATATGTGGAAATGTGTTGTTTTATTTTTATTTTTATGCATTATCTGGCATACATATATTTCCTAATTACCCAGGTAAAGGTTGAAACTCAGGGCTGCATTTGGGCTTTGCCTGCTTTAACATGTTTGTTTCACCTAAATCAAAATTATACAAATCACATCCAATGATAGGAAGCTAAAAAAGAAAAACCTCAAAATAAATCTAAAGTAAGACATTTAAAAAAGGTATTGTGAAGACATAACCTTCTATATTGTTCAATTATAAAAAAAAAAAAAAATGAATGCTCAACTTTTTGTAGGAAACAAAAACACAATGATTCATTAAAAGAAAAATACTTGCAAATTGACATTCTGTGACAGGAAACTGTAGCACAGCAGTGAAAAAAAGTCTATGACTCTATGTTTTAAGTCTATTTGGCCAGCAGGCTTTTTTTTGTTTTTTGTTTTTGTTTGTTCAAGGAATGGCCTTTAGTCTGGAAAAATCAATAATGAACAACATCTTGTTGTAGGACAGCTATGTTAACTAGTTCTTTAAATTTTACGGGTCATGAAAAAAAAAAAAGTCTCAGCAGAGTACTTCCCACTGTTAGGTCTTTCTAAATGTCGGTTTAAGTTTCTGCCTCTGAATGCATTGTCAATCGATTACCATCCTAATTTAAAGATCTGTGTACGTCAATCATATCTTGGAAAAAAACAGATGTGCACAAGAGTCTTAAAGAGGCAGTACAACAATAAAGGGTTCATAGAATGAGTATATAGGGTATGTGGTGCTGGTCCTTAAGGTCTCTGAATAGGGTGTGTAACATTGGTTGGGCTTAAAATGGCATATTTGCTGTTTGATGAGCTCTAATGCAAGCCTGGTTAAAAGCCTCAGAATGAAACGACAGTTTTTTTTTCATTTTATGGTATGCTCATGAATATTTAGATGAGCTGTGCGCTGATTGGTTGGTTTACAATGAGCGAAGCTGCTGAGCAAAGACGCATCATAGCAACAAGCACTCACTCACTGAAACATCAAAATTGTTGATATGGTAGAGTGACCAGACGTCCTCTTTTTCCCAGACATGTCCTACTTTTCATGCCTAAAAAAAGGCCGGGGGGGAATTTCAAAATCGTCCGGGATTTTGATAGGCTACAGTGCAGCACGTAGTCGAAACACCGGGCATTTGAACCGAGCCATCAGCTCCGGGGCTCGTCCAGGAACCCCGACGGATGGGGGCAGGGAGCCAGCGAGGGACGGAGCGACCGAACCGACCCCGTGACAGTAGCCTGGACACCGGCAGCCTAGTGCTTCCCCCCGCCTGCCTTACGGATCCCCAGCCCCCCCTCTTCTGGCTGAGGACGGGTGGCTCATGGCGGCTCTGCTGAGGTCCATTCCAGGCTGCAGCACAGCAATCGACACTTCATACCCGCCCCCCTTCCTTTTCAGAAACCCAAATCTGGTCACAACAGATATGCTAGCAATGCTACCAACAGCTTAGCGACAGAATCATACTTACAGCTTGCGGTTTTGATGGCCTTACGGTCTGAACAGCCCCTGGTTTCAGTAAAAGAAGTTTAGCAAATCCTGCTTTGAACTGTCCAAGATTTTGAAAGCTGTCTTTGGTAAAATGCTTTGAACAGCGAGCATCAAACTTTGCAGAGATCTTCTGATAGACAAAAATAATCCCTGCCTGTCGAGCCTTCGGATCCTTGGGAAGATTGTGAAAAATTTTCCCTTTCTCCCTGCAGCCTGGAACTCTGCATTTAAGCCAGTGGTTCTGGCTCATTTTTAATAGAGAAACTGCCTGCTTTGTAATTCTTGTAGAAGTAAACCCAACTGTAGGCTAAACAGCTAAACTGGAGGCTTACATCTACCTCTATTCATGTTCTTGGGCCACTGAAGCAGTGCGCTGGTCTGTATGTCAATTTCAGGGCATGACAAAAGTACAGGCCAGAACCAAATAAGGGACCATCCCAGAGTTTACGTCAATTCGGGAGTTTGTTTGCATTCCCCCGTTTTATGGTGAAAGTATAATATTTGGAGATTTGCAGAGAAAGGAGGTATTGATGGGGTTTGAAATTCTCTGTACGTCCATTTTACCCACTGAACTATTTTTATTCATCTATGACAATGTAAACTCAGTTTTGCATTCTATCACCCCTTTAGTCTATCACCTATAGGCAAGCAGAATTTATTTTCCATTCAGAATTTACCTCAATCTTTAATTCAAACTGGTTTTATAATGAAGACGGGTAATGAAATAACATGTTTAGACTGGTCACTGACTTACCTGAGGTGAATCAAAAGGATATCGACTACTAAATTTGAAAAGCAGCTGGAATTTCTCTCCTTCATACAATGTGCCAGGTGCGCCTTCCATATCTACAATCCATCTAGAAAAAGGGGGAAACAATGTTAGAATGTCTGGAATTTCACTCAAACAAAAATAATCATAACATTCCTTATGTCAACAAAGGATAAACAAGAAAGGTAAAAATAAGGGCAGTAGATGTGAAGTAAGATGTTTTTCTTTTTGCAAGAAGTTTGAGTTTCTTTCATTGCTTTATTTATATGTATGGATGATTTTAACATTAATCAGGGCCATGATTTTTGAAATAAACTAAGAAATCGTTACCAAATGATTCAAGATTATATCAAAACTAGAACAGAAAAACTACGGCTGCAAGTAACTGAAGAATTTTCTTAAGTTTAATGATCGATTATTAATAATTGATAAAGGGCCATCTTCTTAAAAACAACAACAACAACTGGGTTTTCTTTTGTATCAAGAGGGTCTTTTTTTTAACATGATGGGCTAAACATTTTTTTTTTTACAATATACTAAAATTAAAAAAGAAAGACATATTTTTACAAAGTATTCTACTGGCTGTAATTCCTGACTGTAAAAAAAAAAATCATTGTTAAATCTATACTTATTTAAAAAATGACAACACAGAACTGTTTCTGAATTAAAGAAAAAATGAAGATAATAAGATAAGAGAAGCACTTGTACTTTTCCAGAAGTGAAAAAAAAACACGATAATTTAAAGACAGGATATGCAACTCTGAAATGCTGTAAGGATTTACTTGCCACTTGTATTAATAAAGTGGATGTGATGCTGTTTTCTGTTTCCATGGCAACCCAGCAATCATCGGCAGAAGCAAAACAATACGCTATTATTCAGGCCATTATGTCATCTGAATAAAATGTTAAAACTTCACCAAATACATCCGTATAGTACTTAAACTAACCGAAACCGTAACAATCAATGTGCTTATTGGTATCATGTCTTATTCTATCATGTTCAAATGCTTTGCATAATGCCCGCCGTTTCTGCCTCATCACGTCTTCACTTTCCTATTACTGTAATTTTTGTTTAAGAAGTTGAGTCTGCACTGCCATGCAGCACAGCTGAATGAGTGGTATCTAGACGAAAACTTGAGGAGCTTGTTGAACATTTTAGTTTTATAAAGGTGCATTCTGCATCCTTGACGCTATTGAACAATGTAAAATAATCCCACCCAGGACTTTTAGGAAGGGTTGTGTCCTTGGATGTGTCTGGCGAGATTATTTTATTCTTACAACTGTTGGCTTGCTGACTTAAAATTTGGGAGACAGGGAGAGGGAAATTCCTGGAACATCCTGGTTCATCACGTGTGTTTTTATTCCTATAAGGCAGGGATGTCAAACTGGTTCCTGAAAGGGCCGTGTCGCTGCAGGTTTTCTTTCCATCCAAGCAATAGCACGCCAGAA